GAAATTTGGCTCGGTTTTAATAGCACTCGCGAAGTTCTCAAAACGACTTCATATGAAAGCAGCTCTTGACCCCAGTAATTGAATGAAGTTCTTAACAAAAATTGTGCATAAAAGGTTTATTGTATGTATTTTCTTGAAGTGGAAATTAATAATTGGCCTTCTGAATATTTAGCCACTTCCCTTTTAGGGTTTTATCCTGACTTCTTTGTGGCAAACTATGAAGCTCTCATTAAACTTAGTGGTGCAGGGCCAAAGTATAATGTCTCTAACTCATTTTATCCATGAGCAATGAATATTTACACTGTTTGGTTTTCTTCTTAATTATGTCACTTTCCCTTCCTTCCACCACAAACTATTTTTGCCTTGATGCTAATTTGATACGTCTCTGATAGCTAATAGTTACACATACCCTGTGGCTAATGATAAATAATGAGAAAACAACTTCTTTGCGCCTGCGAAGTTCGTCTCAGATGCCATGTTGCTAAGTGACATAAAAATCATCTTCATCGTGGTGAAATGCATCCATTGTGCAAAGGACTAGAACATGTCCCTCAACGTCACTTGAGCCTCACGCAGTCTATGTGGATGTTCCAGGGTAAGGAATATCTTCACACAGATTGCACTGCAGAAAGAATTTCTGTGCTATGTAGCCCTATATAGGGCATTGCAGAAGGCCACAAACTCAGTGGGTCAGGGCTAAGACCAACACATTTATGTAGCTATAGTAGCGCCAGCACCCCATATATCTGGCACACAGGGTTTGTTACTGCTATAGGTGGTGTGTGGCAGTCACTCACCCTGGTCCAGGATTACTTGAACAGGGAATGAATTTCACCCTATATGTATAAAAAAATGTCAGGGGTGATAAGGAAAATATTTCTGATGATGATTGCATGCAGTGGAAGACAGACTAGAGGCTATTTGCAGTTCTTTCTCTTACAGCCCTCTGTACATATGTTTTCTCACCTTTCTCCGAATATTTCTGAAGCATTCTAAAATGAGATTAGAAAACAAGACCAAAATGTGCATCAGAAAAATTGTGTCCATCAGTTCTTCTGAAGTTCTCTCTCTTTGGAGACACAGCAAGACAGTAGCCCCTTTAAGAAAGGGAAGCATTTGAGGAGATTTTCAGCTGATTACAAAAGGTGAGTGAGTAATGGAGATGGGAGATCATTAGAAATGATTGCAGGAAACAGATATCATTATCTCTCCCAAAACCTCACAACAACAGTTACCTAGGGTATACCAGACATTTTACTTTATGTAGCATCTAATTAGAGAAGCTCATTAGTAAAAATTTCCATGATGCTAATGGCAGCTTGTTTATATTGCCCCATCTTGTGTTCTTTCCATTACTGGCTCTCTCCAATATTTGGTGGCTAATTCTCAGATGTATTATTTCACAGAAACAAAGAATCATCAAACTGGAAGAGACCTCAAGAAGTCATGAAGTCCAGTCCCCTACCCCTGCAGGACCAAGCACTGTCTACATCATCCCTGACAGGTGTCTGTCTAACCTGGCCGTAAATATCTCCAGTGATGGAGATTTCACAAACTCCAGCCCCTAGGCAGTTTATTCCAGTGTCTAACCATCCTGACAGGAATTTTTTCCTGGTGTCCATCCTAAACCTCCCTTGCTGCAATTTAAGCCCATTGCTTCTTGTCCTATCCTCGGAGGCCAAAGAGAACAATTTTTCTCCCTCCTCTTTATAACACCCTTTTAGATACTTTCATAAGATTTGACTATGCTATGAATCATGTAGGCACAATACACTGAAGCAAAAATAGTGGATTTAAACGAAGATGGAAGAAAAATACGTTCAGAGGTTTGAACTTTTAAAGGAAATAATTTCTTCCATTTAGAAAAAAAACACATCCTCCTGCCCCTGATGCCATAAAACAGGGGTGGGCAATAATTTTTGCCCGGGGGCCACTTCAAAAATTTTTGAAGTAGCCCTGGGCCACAGCGGAAGGGGCAGAGCCTAAACAGGAAGGGGTGGGGCTACCCCATCCCCAGACTATGATTGGTCTGGGGATGGGTGAGCCTCTTTGCCCCTCTTCCCACTAGGCACCCATGCCCTGGAAGAGGCTTGGCATTCACCCCCACCCCAAGGCCAATCAGAGCCTGGGGGCGGAAGCTTCATCCCACCCTGTGAGAAGCATGTGGCACTTTGAAGTGTTGTGGGCTACTTGCAGAGCCAGGGCAGGAAGAAGGAAGCTTCATGCAGGTCCCCCGCCCCCAGGTCCTGTTTGGCCTGGGGGCGGGGAAGCACGCGAAGCCTTCTCCACTCTCCCCCATGTCCTGTGAGCAGCATGCAGCACTTCAAAGCACCACATGCTCCTGGCAGGGCGGAAGGTGGCTTAGTGGGCTCCCTTGCCCCCAGCCAATTAAGAACTGGGGGCGGGGGAGTGTCCAAAGCCTTCTCTGCTCTACCCCTGCACTGTGAGCAGCATGTGGTGCTTGGAAGTGCTGTGCGCTGCTGTAGCCAGACACAAACCCCATCTTGGTTTTCCATGAACCCCATCTTGTTTCCCCCCCCCCCCCACAAGGCAGGGGAAGGGCAGCCGGCCTTAGCCAGACATGAACCCCATCTTGTTCCCCTCCCCCCCCAGAGAGCAAGAGAAAGGCAGTCAGCCTTTGATGCCCTGGGAACACAGGTTTGCTGCCTGTCCCTGACTCTACCATAAACAGAAACCAGACAGTAAATGGGCTAGCTGACGACCCGGGACCTCCCGTTGCCCTGATGGCTAGTACCAGTAATTGACACGCCTGCACTGTCCCAGGAGAGGAATCTTCGCCCATCACATACCAGAGGTGCCCATTGTCTGCATTTTCCCAGGTGTAAATTATGCTTTGCACCCTTCGTGGGAAACTTGGCATTCAAAGCCATTTTTCCTAATTGGCCACTTGAGCCCAGGAAGAAGCCTACATGACCCAAGGGGTATAAAAGAGGTTCAGCCGCCCACCCCATTTGAGCTCCAATCATCTATACCTGCTGGCAGGTATTGATTGTCTCCCGAGGTCTGTGGGACGCCCAACCTCGCCCTACTTCTTCCCGAGGGATTGAGAGAAAGACGCTGGCCACGCCAAGTCTGGAACGCAGGGGTGAGAATATGTACCTGCTATGTGTCTATTTTGCATGCATTAAATAAGAGCTCAGAGAACCAAAGGGTTTCATGGTACCTGTAAGTGACTTATTAGTGTAATTTCTGTCCTGTCCTTTGTAGTGTCTGTGTTATCTGTAACACAGTAGTAGCATTTAACAGCTAAGTTTACCCTGTAACAATAAAATAGTAACTGTTTAAGCTTTAACCTGACTCCTTCAGTTGCTGTAACAGAACCAAGCACAATTTAAAAGAACTTCAGCCGGTCATAAGGGACTCACTGCCCTGACCGTTGGCTGACAGCTGCTTGCAGGGCAGGGGCAGAGTGGAGAAGGCTTTGGGCACTCCTCCACCCCCAGGCTCTAATTTGCTTGGGGGCGGGGGAGCAGCAGAGCCTCCAAGGGCTGGATCCACCTGCTTGCAGACCGGATCCAGCCCACGGAGGTCCTTTTGCTCACCCCTGCCATAAAAGCATACCTGGCAGTCAAATTTGTGCTCTATTGAGACCCAAATATAGGCAGAATTTAGGAGGGATGCTTATTCCCTGCATACAGCAGAACAGGGCACAAAAGGAGCAAACTTAGAACCAAATGATGTAACTCTGAAACCTACAGATGTCAATGCACATTATATGTTTAAGTGATTCAACTACTAACCATTTTAGCAGAAAGAATGTCTTTACTCCAGAATCCCAACTTTCCTCCACTGTCTTTCCAGATACAAAAATATAGCTACCTACATGGAACTTGGATGGAGAAGTACAAGTTATTAGAGGGATGTGTTTGTAGCATGTGAGCAGTCTGTGAGAAATGGCTAAAAGGCTAGGTACAGTTACAGCACCTATATATATAATTTTTTAATAAGGAGCCAGTTTAATTTTAGAAACATGGAGTCATCTCATGTTATGTCCCAGGATGTAGTACATAAAACACTGTATTCCCATATACTCTCTACCACTCAGTCAAAGCTTCCAGCTTCCCTTCTGATAACTTCAATATCGGTAAGAATTTTCATTACAACTTTCTCCTATACAAGAAGCAGTGAGGTCTAGTAGATATACATCACTGGAGTGTGTGTCAGCAAACCTGGGCTCTATTCCAGCTCTGCTATTGATCCGTTGTAGGCAAGGCTCTTCAAGTCTTTATGCTTCTGTTACCCCTCCCACATTTTGTCTGCCTCATATAATTAGACTGTGAGCCTTTTCAGGCATGGATTGTTATTATTATGTACTTGTGCAATGTCTAGGACACGGTGGTCCTGTCTTCAGCTGGGGCCTCTGTGTGCTGCTATAACACAATCATCGAAAATTGAAATCATATAGAAAATTGAAAGTGTGGGGATGGCCTAAAGCAATCTCTATTTAATTTGAAAACAAATGGAGGTTACTAATTATCTTTATCTTTCTTTAAATAAAACCTTTGCATTTAAGAATGTATAACATTTGTTAATTTTAATTCCAGAGAGCTACAGAACCTAGGGACTTTGCAGTCCAGGTTACTGCAAAGTACATAGAGCTTTGTTCCTGTAAGCATAATTATCAGACAACATCATTCGTGTATAATTATGAAGCTTTATTTTTTCAAGGTTGTTTAATAAGAACAATAAAAAAACCAGACTACTTTAAAAATGTAAAATGTTGGGGAGGGGGAGAATTTATACCAGACAATATAAAAAAGGCCTTAAAGACAAGATTATTGCCTATTCATTTCTGCAGAAATAAAGATGTGTTTCAACCCAACTCTAATTACAGTTTTGTGATGCTTTGTCGAGTCCTGCTAAGTTTCACCAGTAAACAGCTCTTTGTTGTTCCTTTACATTCTGTCACCATGGCAACTAGTATTTTCGAGTCTGATTCTAAGAGATGCTGACCACCTGCATCTGTCATTGGTTTTTTGGGGAGATAAATGTGCTAAGCACTCTTCAGGATCAGGCCCATCGCTGGCATCCTTCATAAGTGTTCAGGGTGTAGAAGAAACTCACTGTATTTAGAAGGAATGGGTATAACTCAGGTATAATTCAGCACATGGCTCTTTCTTAAGCCATTTAATCAACTTTAGGAAGAAACAGAGACATTGTCACTAACAAAATATTAATTCACTGCCAGTACCTTCAGTTCAAACATTGCTGGAAGGGGGAGGAGGTCAAACTTAGGTGACAAACAGCACATTTTCCATCTTAACTCTTGAATCATGCCCAAGGGATTTCCCTTTGTCTATGTTGCTTACATTGACCTCAACCTGTTGGTCTAAGTTGAAAGGAATCATCCAATTTAGTGCTGTGTAGCTGTTTTGCTTTATAGCTCAATTTCCTTTGAATTTGTCTTGCTGTCACAGTATAAGGGAGTGTATGTCAGTTGTTAAGCAAATAGTTTCAATTTAAGCAGGTGTGAACATACCAGTTGTTTTCGTTATCTTTTATGTGGCCTGAACATGTTTTATCTCATCAGATAGCTACTCTCATACCTTGTGGTAAATTACCAGCGGTGTGCTGTTGATCACACAAGTCTCTGCCTTTGGCATTTACATACCTCTGACTATTGTATATGATGACCTATGATATGCACACAAAGCCAAATTCTGTTCTCAGATTCAGTAGAGCTAGTTGGAGTAACTCTTCTGGTGTCAGTGTTTACTCTGTGGTTTCCCTGCTTCAGGGCTTTGCCCTTTCATGATGTTATCCTATATTTATTCCTGCAGCAGTGAGTAGATTTTCCGAGAATTGGACTCAAGTCACCTGAGCGGAATTGTTTAGATTTCAGCACTCAGAGACAATACTGATTTAAACACATCATAGCTGACACTCAGTGCAAACATACATGAGATGCGGGACTTAACCCTACTTCTGTGCTGTCTGTACAAATTGTAAGCTCCTGGAGCAGGTGCTGTGTCTCCCCATGAACATATTCACTCTGTTGCATTTTTTACTACATATTTATGAAGTCTTGTTTTCATGCTATTATTTGTTATCCAGTGCATTGAAATCCAATTACTATCAAAATCAGCTTTCTTGAGCAATACCAACACTGCAATCATTTGAAGAATGCCAGCATCTCACTGTCTCCTTCACATGTGCATTGTTTGCTTTAAAAAAATTACTCCCAGAATTTCTCTTTAAGCTTTATACAAATCCTCTTTAAGCTCCATCTGAAATAACAAGCAGTCCTGTGGCACCTTAGGGTGTGTTTAGACTATATGGCTCCGTCGACGGAGCCATGTAAAGTAGTTTACTCAACATAGTCAATGAAGTGAGGATTTAAATAATCCCCGCTTCATTAAAATAAAAATGGCCGCTACGCTGTGCCGACGATCAGCAGATCCAGCACAGTGCAGCAGTCTAGACATGGATTGGTCGACAAAAGAAGGCTTTGTGGACTGCTCCTTTAAGCCTCATGAAACGAGGTTTACCAGAGCAGTCGACAAAGGCTTCCTTTGTCAACCGATCCACGTCTAGACTGCTGCACTGTGCCAGATCAGCTGATTGTCGGCACAGCACGGTGGCTATTTTTATTTTAATGAAGCGGAGATTATTTAAATCCCCTCTTCATTGACTATGTCGAGTAAACTACTTTACATGGCTCCGTCGACGGAGCCATATAGTCTAGACACACTCTTAGAGACTAACAAATATATTAGATCATGAGCTTTCATGGACAAGCCCAAGGTCATAGTGTCAAACATGTATGAAGGTGCAACAGGTGAAAAGATGGTGGTGATTTATGGATGTGTATCATAGGAAGTTAATGGTGCTGATAAGAAGCAAATTAATGCTTTTGAAATGTGGTGCTAGCAAAGACTTTTGCATATTTCTTGGATGGAAAACAAGATGAATTATTAGAATTAATAGTACTGGAATTAATAATATTAAAAACATTAGAAATATTAGTGGAATGAAGTAGACATTAATATCAAGAATCAACAGACACAAACTTATTTTCTTTGGTCACATTATGTGTAGAAATGGAAATATTGTCCAGAAAGTTATTATGGAAGAAATGGTAGAGGGTCATCATAGTAAAGGGAGACCAGCCAGGAGATGGTTGGCTGGTATTCACAATTATTGGAAGATCAGCTGCTGAGTGCTCAAAGTTAGCAATGGATTGTGTGGGCTTCTGAGAATTCTGCTATGATGTCACTGATATTCAGCCATTGATAAATGAATGTACCTACCTACAAAAGTAAGGACCCTAGTTGAACACTAAGTTGCTGAGATGTTCACAGGGCCATTTCCTGCTTTATAGACTATGCAATGCTTTTCTTTCTATCTATCTATTTTAAATCATATATCATCAGCATGCCTATTTTTATGATTGTCATGCTGGTCACTCTGGTAGTAATAAAAAATAAACAGTTAACATCTCTATTAGGAATTAGTAGAGCTGCCTATCAAATCTTCTTTTAGCAACATGCACAATTGGGCTGTAACATTAGATTCAGCTCTACAAAGTATCAGATCTTTACTCTTTAGAAATTAATTGCCAGCTGGACACATGGGTTATTGAGTGACATTCCTCTGTTCAGGGATATTCCTCAGTTCTTGTAGAGGAAAGGAAAGATAAAGAGGAAAGACGACAGAACTGTCACACTGCTGTATACATAGGGCAGAACTTCACACAGCAGGTTGCAAACTCAGCTGTCCCATTTCATTATGCTGCTGATGCAGCTCCCTGTGGAGCATTAAGATTTTAAAATCATTTAGGAAATATGAAGATACGTTGTTATTAAATCTTTTCATTGAACTTCAAAAATGATATTCTAGTGTCCCTTTTTTAAACATGATAAATACTGTCTTTCATTCCTGAAGATTGGTAGGTTAAAATAAGGCTGAGTTTTTGGTATAAGAAGATTAGTATGAAAATGAAAACAAACTATACATAATAGCTAAGATGATTTTGTGTTGAGCATGAACTACTGCAGAGTCAAGAAAAAGCTTCCTGAGACTCAAGTATTTATTTTACTGCATGTGAAGGCATAGGTATTTCTACAAGAGGATTTTGTCATTTGTATGCATATTTTACTGGGTTAATATTGTTACTTCAATGGAGATTTATTCATAACATTTTAAAATAATCATCTATTTCATTGCCTAAATTACTGGGCAAATCTTGTTGACATACTTATGATATTCACATTAATAATATCAAATGGACTCCCCCCGATTAGAGCAGTGTCAAACAATTAATTTTGGTTTTGCAGATTTATGTGAGACAAAATCAATCTGTATAATCTGTCTGTGTTTATATAACATGCCAGGATATCTGAGAATCTGTTTTGCCAAAATGCAAAGTTCTTTTCTAAGAGCTACTTGTGGAAAACTACCTTTCATTACCGAAAAGCAAATATTGAAGCAGGAACAAAAAATTAATGTTTTGGTTGTGAAAATGTGGTTTCTTGTTTTTTATCTATTGCAAAGGAAGTATAGACAATCTGGTCTATCATAAATATATAGCTAGATAAACCATCGTTCTTGTTATTTTTTATAATTTTATGGCAACCACTTTTTAATGTAAAACTTACACAGATTTAACTTTCCATAGTACGTCAGTATCTTCCAGACTACATCTTAAAGAATTCCTGGTCTAGTTATCATTGTGCACAACTCATTTATTTCCTGTTCTTGAGGACAATTTGAATATGGAGCTGACAGTGTATCCAAAGAACAGAAAGATTGCTACAGTGCACCTAAGGTGTACGATATGTTTAAGGATAGAAGGATGTTGTAAAAATATTGAGCGTATTCACACATTAATTTTTCATAATCATTTGTGTGCACAGATTGGGCTCCCTACTGGTCAGCCTTGAAGAAAGTGGATCTTCATCTCCCCTTGATGTAATTGGGAGGAACTGGGAGATGCCATGGTCTCACGGTCCAGAAGTATGCAGACAACACCTACCTTCATCATAGACATGGCAAGCCTCATCTCACCACCAGACCACTCTCTGGACGAGATTACACTTGGATAAAAGACAGCATGGTAACACTGCACTCAAGCAAGATGGAGGTAATATTGGTGGTCTCAGAGAGATAGATGCATTAGTCTGTAACTTTAAAAAAACAAGGAGTAAGATGTTACAGGACTACTCGTATTATTGGTGGGTAAAGGGAATGACACTCCAAACAGAACTCTTCATATCACCTGCCTCTATGGCTCGATCTGTAGATTATGTGTTAAATAAATTGATTACTGAAAAAAATCCAGTTGTTACAGGTTCTTGACCGAAGATCAGACCCAGTATTATTTACATTATTAGATAGTTGGGAACCCTGAGGTAAACAGTTGCAACCCTCACACTCTAGGAAAGCTTCTACATTTACAAATATAGTTTATTAACACTTTGAGCACAGTCACAAACACCCCAATTCAGTAAGGTAGACAGATACCACAGAATGTACATATGCACTTCCATATACTTACACCATCCCTTGCAGAACAATCTGAAATGTTAGCCACCATCTTCCTCATCACCATCACCTTCCTCATCATTGCCAATGGCCATCATTGTTGCACCTCCCAAGGTTTACATCTCCTTCTCCTACTGCCCCTTGGCTGGGATGCCACTTTCATAATATGTCTCAAAGGGGTAGCCGTGTTAGTCTATAACTTTAAAAACAGCGAGTAGTCCTGTGGCATGAGACTAATAAAAATATATATAGTATCATATACACTTTTATAGTATGTCACACTGTTGTATATAATGCACATTTAGTAGGGGATTTCCTCCTTTTTCCATATTTATATTTTTTCACATTATTAATGTTGGAGTGTTTTCTTCTATAGGTTAATATAACAATTATTTTAACTTATTATCATATGCATCAATGTGTTACCATGGCCCTTTTGTGGCTAGTTACCATGTTTACTATTTCTGGCCTGGGAATTTTTCTTTTGTATTTTCCAAATTCCAAGTTGTGATGTATCTGTTACATTTAAAAGGGTGTGAACTTGCGAAGCCTACTATGTCAGCCTACTTCAATGCTTCCTCAGTGTTAAAGATTGCAGCCATATATGACCCCTATGTTTTAGCTCATCACCATTTGTTTAGACAAAAGATCTCATAAGAAAGTTTTAAAAAATTTAAGAAAACGTATAGGCAAGCAGCAGGCTACCCTTAGCTGTATCTCATGTACCTGTTACATATGTTGGTCCATTGCTAGGACACTTCTTTGGTTGAATTATGTACTTGTGGACAGAACTTCTTAAATTCTCTTTTCAGCTACCCAAACTCTTGGGGTTTTCTGCTGGGCTATTTATCTGTGTAAAGTTCATAGGCCTCAAGTTGTATTCTAACTTGCTGAAGCTAATGTCTTACAGAATATGGGCAAACTAACTAACTGGGCTACCCCTCAGTCATAATCTCATTTCTATCAAAGCCTTGATGTTCTTTGGATCACCTCACTACTGCTAGACTTTTGAAGAACTGCAACCATAAAAAAGTCTTCTTCCCTATGAGATGATGTAGAGGAACATGCATCATTGTGTCAGACACTGATTTGGTCATGGTGATCCATACTTTTGTGACTTCTAGAATGCCTTACACACTAGCATTTTTCTTAAGTATCACAAAACTCAGACCTCAAAGTGCAGCACACTGCCCACCAGACCTTGAGAGCACGTGTCCATAAGCTTTTCACTACAGTAGCTTGCGACAGAATGCTGGTTTAAATATCAAGATTTAGTCTCAGGCCTATCAAAGAATTGGCATCAATTATCCTACAAATAGTGTCTCTCTGGCCATGATGAACTAGACAGGAGCTATGAGTTATTAACCTCCTGGGTGGAGGTTTTCTTGACAGGAGGGCCAAGATCCCAACACTAGAGAGCAGACTGAATTGCTTTCTAGAGTACCTGTTCAAGATGACTAAAGGAAGGAGACGACTGCAATTATAAAAATGGCTATTGGTCTGACACCATTTGGGCAAGAACCACAGAAGTGGCTATTTGAAGTGTGTTGGACTTATAAAAGAAAATGGTACAGATTGAAACTCTCTTAACTGGGACTCTCTGGTCCGGCAACATCCATGGTCTGTTCCAGGATCAGAAAGTCCCACTGGAAGGCTAGCACTTGGGAGCCCTGCAGGCTAGCAGGAGAGTGGGGCTTCCCAGCAGGCCTGTGGGAGCTCCACACGCAGCAGCAGGAGCCCTGAGCAGAGGCTGCAGGCCTGCCCGAAGCAACAGCAGAATCCAGGCTCTGCAGCTGAAGCCCGGTGAGCAAAGGTAGCTGGGCTACCTAGTAGGGCAGCGGGGGCTGACAGGGCAGCAGGGCCAGTGAGGGGAGAACCAGCTGGGAGGGCAGTAGTCAGGCCAGGGCTGGAGGGAGCTGGCGGCCAGGGGGCCAGAAATGACCATCTCTGGTCCAACAAAATCTCTCATCCAGGACTGGTCAGGTCCCATGGGTGCCATACCAGGGAGGTGCAACATGTACTCTTGTCTGATTACTGACACCAGCAATATTCTAAATCACTTCCTTGGGATATTAAACACCCTTGGATCTGTAAATGGTCAAGAATGACTACAGATAAGATAACCCACAGACAAATCATCTAAGGCTGTGTATTTATCCCATCTCAGAAGTTAGAAAAGAATCAGGCCTGTTAAGACAACTCCAAGAAGATCTTGGGTGATGCGGGAAGATGTATTGTTGATTTAGTAGATGATAATATTCCTTCTGAAACAATGCCACAGCATTCTTTGGGAAGCACTGTGATGCTAGAAGTCCTGTGTTTTGGATAAAATACAACAAAGTTTAACAAGAAGGGTTAACCTGTTCTAACCATTAATTACTTCACTGGGCTTTTTTCAAATTTAAACACTGATTACTGAACCTAGAAGATTCTGTGCATTTAGCTGGTTGAGCTAAACACGGTCTTTTAGTTTAGAAGAAAAACTAGGCTCATAAATTTCTCCATATGGTTTAGACACTAAGAGGGAACAGAGAGCCACACTCTTGTTAGTATGGGGGAGACAAAAGTAGGTTGTTAGCTGTATAATGTTTTTCCTTTTTTCACATTATTGTTTATTGTTCAATGTTAAAATGCACTGGTGAGCAGCTTCTGTATCATAAATTACCTGTAGATGGTATACATTAAATATGTTGAGTGTTTGTGTGTAGATAGATGGATTGATAGATCATTTGTAAACTCCTCCAGGCTATGTTTACACTACAGAGCTTTTCCAGGATGCCAGAGGTATCCCGGAAAAACTCTGTCGCGTCCAGGGAACACGTCTGCCCTTCCAACATTTTTTCCAGAAGAGCAGACGCGCTTTTTCGGCATCCCTGTAAATCGCATTTTATCAGGAAGAAGGGGTGTTCCAAAAAAGGGGGGGTTCCTGTGTAGATGGGCCAAATGTCAGAAAAGCCTCTTCCAAAAAATGAAGTGGAAAAAGCTACGGAAATTGCAGTTCGCAATTTGTGTCACTTTTTCCGGAAGAACAGTATAGTGTAGACATAGCCCCAGAATGGGAGTAGCAAGATATGTTCATGGTAATGATGCCCATGCCAAAAGTATGTCCCAATAGAGAGATAGTCCTAATAGTTACAGCCCTAGACTAGAGGCCAGCACGATTGTAAAGCAGAAAATAAAATAATCTATTTTGCGTTACAGAAACAATATATTTTGTTTCTAAAATGTGTCTTGTTTGCAAAAATGAAGGCAATAGGCTTTTCTTATCTCTAAGTAATTTTATTATATTTCCACCTTTGCATTCAGACTAACATCAGTGGAACAGTTTCTGATTTTCTGCTTTCTTGCATTTTATAAGACAGCATTTTGACCTAGTAAATGTAATAACATGCTAGGTCAAAGAGTCGTGATTTTATACCACAGATCTTTCCTGTGTCAGAAGAACTAAACACACTATTACTAAGGGTGTGACATCTTCACCTACTTCTGCAGGCCAAAATTAACAGTGGCAAAGGCATTATTTGTTTCAGAACATTGAAATGGCAACACTGAAGTTTCATAGTGCACTACAACTTCCATCTTTTTGCTTTTAACCATACACAAGAGCACTCCAAAGGGAAGTCAGCCTCACAACATTTTGTAATAGAGTTTTCAGCGTTGCCTGATTGCATTACAAACACCGCACATATTGAAGCACTCTGGCAGTTTCCTAGTGTTCACAGTGAGGGATCTGAACCTTTTGACCTCAAACATCTTATTAAAGCCTATGCCCGACTATGTCTCCACAAGGGAAAAAAACAAGAAACTACTGAACTTATTCTCTTCTATAATTCATTCAAGTAAGCCCTTGCTGAGTGGAGGACCTTGGCTTTGATGTTAAAGTCTCTTAATTGGAAGGAAGTGAAGTGTTAGCCTGGCAGGCTATTAGTCTCTCATCAAATACGTTAAGAGGTATCAGAACACTGAAGTTCTCACACTGGTGCAAAGAAAGCACAGAGTGGCCTGGTTTTTGTTAAAATGTTTAAACTTTTCATCTCTAACAAAAAGTTTAATACACATGGAGCTATCCCTTGATTTTCTTTCCTTTTATCTCCACCCTTTTCCCTTCGGAGCCTCCATCTTTCTATTGCTTACAGCACCTCATCCCCATTAGTGCTATAAAGTCCCAGGCAATACATTATAGCTCTGATTCAAAGCTAACTATTGCATCCAGAGTGGGATCCAACTCATTGTTGTTTGATGAAGTGAAACACCTACCCTGTTAGAGTTTTTCTTCCCATGAAAGTAACCTTGCTAAAGGGTGTCCATATACCCAGAAACCAATACTGTGTGGTGCTAGAGTCTCAATTCAGAACAAGACTTAAGCACATGGTTAATTTAAAGCATATGTTTATATCGCATTGATGTAAAGTTAAGCACATGCTCAAGTACCATATCCTTTGGGTATGCTTTCCAGAATTTGTGTGCAGGGACCCAGTCCTGAAACGTGCCCAGTATTCTCGATGGGGCTCCCATATTGTTCATACTGTGTGGTGCTAGAGTCTCAATTCAGAACAAGACTTAAGCACATGGTTAATTTAAAGCATATGTTTATATCGC